TGCGCATCACTGCAGCTGCATGTGATTGACACACAAGGGGACAATACAGCTCTTCTTCCTGCTTTTTTGCATGTTTAATTTCTTTGTGATAACCAAAATATAATAATGCTAAGGGGGATTTTAATTTCCTATATGTATTCCATGGATTTGATATTCATATCACAGTCAAAGAAAGGAAGGAGTGCATTTCCTAGCATATCCCGCACTCCCTCGCTAAAGGGACAAAGGGGCCTCAGCAAAGCCTCTGAGTCTTGCATCTTAAAGACACTGTGGAGACATACAGTGGAGCTTAATGGGTAAGCACAGAACCAGGATGTCCAGGCAACAGCAATAGGATGACCTGGGAGGAAGCAGCAGCAAATGAAGGAACCTATGGCTGAGGGCCTGCAGTGGGAACTTAAGATTTGCATAGTCATAGAATCTTGGAATGAGGGACCATATCTAAAAAAATGTCAAGAATCTCTCTCTCTCTCTCTCTCTCTCTCTCTATCTCTATCTCTATCTCTCTCTGTGTGTGTGTGTGTGTGTGTGTGTGTGTGTGTGTGTGTGTGTGCATGTCTATATTTGTCTATGTGAATGCAGTGTACTGTATGAGCAAGTACAGGTACATACACCCACACATGTACATGTGGAGGCCAGTAAGGTACTGTTCTGTCACTCTCCTTTTTATTCCTCTGAGAGGGTTTCTCACTGAACATGGAGCTGGCCTGGCAGTCATCAAGTCCCAGAAATCCTCCTGTCTCTGCCTCCCACAGCAGGTGAGCACCTCTGTGCCTGCAGTCACACTCAGCTTTTTATGTGCATTCTAGTCCTCTTACCAAGTGATTTCTTACCAAACACTCTTACCCACTGAACCATCTTCCCAGCTCCTCTATAAAAATAAGAAACCTTTCTGTGTCGTGCACTTTGAAATACATGGGGGATAATATATTTACAGAAAGCCCACAGGAAAGAGCTAAGCTGCCCTATCAAAACTTCAGAGGTTGGGTCTGTGACTTCTACGAATGTGACACTATTTTCTCTTATGCTGGTGGGGGCTGCACCTCAAATCCATGGTACTTCTTGTGGATTTCCCCAGAGAATATCTGACCTGCTTACTTTCAGTAATTTTTAGTTTCTTTTATATTACCATAGCCAAAATACCTGACAGAGATACTGAAGAGAGCAGAATGTTATTTTGGCTTGTGGTTTTAGTGTATATCACTCCATCATGGTAATGGCATAGTGGGACGGACCAATGTGGCAGTGGGTATTTGGGATATAGGCTGTTCACAGAAGCAGAGAGCTGGATACTTCCTCCAATTAATTCCTGAATCCTTAAAGCCCTACCCACTTCAAAACAGTACCAGCACCTGGGAAACAGGTACTGAAAATATGAGCCTGGAAGGACATTGCAGATTCAAATACTAAAACCTACATAGTACTCACCTATGTCCAGGCATGAAATGGTTATTAGGCCCAAGGGAAGACCTATGTCCATCTTGATTGCATGCCTTATTGAGGCCCTCACAAAGAAAAAGTGAGTTGGTAAGTGTAATGGCTATTCCTGGTTGTCAACTTGACTATATATAGAATGAACTACAATCCAGAATTGGAAGGCTCACCTGTGATTCAGATCTTGAGGCTGGGAGATACAAGTTTCTGATATGGATCTTCATAGTGGCTATGAATCCTGGAAGACTAAGGCAAGGAGATCTCTGAGTTCAAGGTCACCCTGGGTCAAAACAAGTCCCAGATCTAGGTGTGGTGGTACACACCTTCTGCTGGAGACCTACATAAGGACATTGGAATTTGCTCTTCTCTTGCTTGCCTTTACTTGCCAGCACATCTGTTGGAATCTACTAGCCTTGTGGGACTGAGCAACTACTAGATCCTTGGACTTCCCATTCACAGCTGACCATTGTTGGGGAGTTGAACTACAGACTGTAAGTCATCATAACAAATTCCCTTACTATATAGAGACTATCCATAAGTTCTGTGCCTCTAGAGAACCCTGACTAGTACCATTAGAGTCAAGAGATTTTGGAAGGATCCCTAGTTTGGGATTGGATACTTCAGGCAAAGAACCTGACTTCTCCTGTCCGATTGCTACTTTTTTGTTGTTTTTTTTGTTTGGTTGGCTTCTTTATCTCAGATAATGCTTGATAACCAAAAGCAACTATGGAAGAAAGGATTTACTTGTTTACTTTGGTTTGCTGTCGTAGAGAAAGAGTCCATAATGGCAGGAAGGTGTGGCAGCTGACGAGTGGAACAGGAAGCTAAGAGATCACTTTTTCAAACCTAAGTACAAACACAGAGAACAAACTGGAAAAAGAATGGGACTATAAACTCTCAAATTCTGTCCCAATAAAGTACTTCCTCCATCAAGGCTACATCTCCTAAAGGTTCCATAACCTTTCTCACAAAATCACCTGGGGACCAAGTGTTAAAATGCCTGAACCCATATGTCTTAGTTAGAGTTTTAGTGGTGTGAACAGACACCATGACCAAGGCAACTCTTACAAGGACAGCATTTAATTGAGGCTGGCTCACAAGTTCAGAGGTTCAGTCCATTATCATCAAGATGGGAGCATGGAAGCATCTAGGCAGGCATGGTGCAGGAGGAGCCAGAGTTTTACATCTTCATCTGAAGACTGCTAGCAGAATACTGGCTTCCAGGAAGCTAGGATGAGGGTCTAAAGCCCATGCCCACAGTGACACATCTCCTCCAACAAGGCCACACCTCCTAATAGTGCCACTCCCTGGGCCAAGCATATACAAACTATCACACCATAGGAAATTTTTTTGTCATTTAAAACTACATATCAGATGTATGTAAGTATATTCCCCTGGGAAAGCTTTAAACTCCTGGAGAGCTGACAAAGTAGTCACAATTTTTTTTTTTAATTCAGCACCCTTCCACTGGACTAGAATTTGTCCCAGAGCCTCTGTGGAAGCAAGAAATGGTGCCAGGTTCCTCCCATCCATCACCTTGGGTGAGAAATGCAGTCACCTCTGAGAAGTATAATATCACAGCAGACCATCCTAAGAAATAACTGTGTGTTTTGTTGCTTTAGAAAATGGACACAGGTACCCATTCCATAAACAGGATAAAAGTAATTCCCAGGAGGTCTGTGAAGGGAGAACCAAGCAACAGCAGGCTCCATAATTCTGAGGTTTTTTTCTTTTAGGTTTTATTTGTTTGTGTATGCATGTCCATGTGTGTGTGTGCAGATGCACATGGACATGGAAGTCAGAAGTCAACCTCCGATGTAATAACCAGTTCACCTGCTACTTGTATTTTTAACATTTTTCAGGATTCCAGGGACCTAACTCAGGTTTTCAGGTTTGATAGCAAGTGTTTCTACCTGCTCAAGCGTCTCACTAGCACCTCACTCTCAATTTCAAAGGTCGCACTTTCAGACTTCCTCACCTCTCTAGATCTGCTATACTTTTACTATTTACAATTCCCATGCACTGGTTATATGAGCAAATATGTAACAGGAATGGAGAGAAATACAAAAATCAGATGGGTGGGAGGATTTCATGTTCCTAGGTGGACCTCGAACTCCCTGTTTAGCAGAAGATGATCTTGAACTTCTGATCCTCCTACCTCTGCCTCCTGAGTACTAGGGTTACAGGTGTGTTAAAGTCTACTTTTAATGATGGTTCTTAAATGCTTTAACTTCCCTTTAACTCACCACCCACCAGAGGTAGTGGGAAAGAAAGGATATTGGGGAAGTGGACCTGTTTAGAAAGGTTCTTTGGAGCAACTCCCATCTGTGTTGTTTGGAAATCAGTAGTTCAGTTCACAGGTTAGCAGTAGCAGCTCGATCCACTGACAAACACTTCATGGATACACCAGCAGCCCAGTTTGGTAGGGTCGAGATAGCAAACATGAATCAGCAGTGGTGGCAATATCTAGTAGAGACAGCCAGGCCTCAGCCTTGGCACAAGTTAGCAGCAGGGGGGACCAGCAGGAATGTCAGGAGTTCTCAGCTGAGCCTCTCTCAGAAAACTGAAGATCAGTGAAGATTTGAGACCAACAAGCATTGTACAACTGGCTCTACCATCAAGCCAAGCTCATCCTCCATCATTGTCCATCAAGTCCTATTTATACTCCCTCCAAACATCCTGTGTCCTCCATGGGTCTTGCCTTAGCACGTGTGTCTGTCTCAGCTGACATCACTCTGTCAATCAGCCTGAGTCCATAGAAGAAACTGCAGCACAACACCAGAAGTTTTTGGTGCGTTTTTCTCTATGGAGAACAAATAGAGCTCAACAATACATGTAAGTCAGACCAATACATGCATGTCATTAGCAAAGAATTCTTCATCTCATGTCCTTGCACGTGCTTGCTTTAGCAGACCATCCTTTCACCTGTGTCTGCTTCAGGAAAACATTCCTTCATGTGTTTGCCACAGCAAAACACCATCCAACACAACTGACTTTTAAAGAACCCTTAAGTTTCCACTTCAGGTGTGTGCCAGTTTACATAGTATTGGAGATCAAGCCCAGGTCTTCAAGCATGCTAGACAAAGCATTCTACCAACTAAGCCACATCCCTCAGTCTTGATTCAGAATTTTTATTTTGTCAGAAATCTATTGTTTTCTTTAGAAGTGTCCCCCTATTTTAAAAACTGTTTTGAGTCTTCATGATAAAGTACACCAATGCTCCAGTTTTAGTCAGATAGTTACTAAATTGTGGGTTATTATATATATAAGGAAAAAAATTTTTTTCAGAGCTGAGGACCCAACCTAGGGCTTGTGCTTGCTAGGCAAGTGCTCTACCACTGAGCTCAATCACCAACCCCGAGAAAAAATTTGTTAAATGCAGTTTTCATGTTTTTTTTTCTTTCAAAAAATGATCTTAAGTGATTGTCGAATCCTCAGCCATAGGTAAACATGCATTAAACCCTCCAGGGTCCAAGGCACAGGGACAGAGAGGATGTGACATTCAGAGGGAGGGGGAGACCCGTGGAACCCTGCCTTCTGGGCCTGATGTGGCGGGGTGGGGTGGGGGGGCGGTAGCACTCTCAAACTCCCAGTAGCTCTGGCTCCCTCCTGGAGGTTGGGCTTGTCCGAATTCTGTAATGTAGGAGACGGGTTCACGAGGCTTCACTCTTAGGCTCCATAGGCACTTAAGCATTGCTGGAAGAGGGAGAGAATTTTCTGCAGTGATGTAGTCACCCGTAAGGTGCCCATGGGCTCTTAAATAACTCTAACTTGTACTCCTGTAAGTGATTATAGCAAAATTCATGGGGTCATTAAAATAAAAAGACATGGAAATAGAAGGGGAAATGGTTAAAAAGAATCAGGAGGGAGATAAGGGAGACTAAGAAGGTGGTAAATATGCTCAAAAAGATATCATATACATGTATCAAAATGCCATAATGGACTCCTTATTATGTATAATTAACACATGCTAATAAAAACTTACAAGAAAGACAAGATTGTATGTGTCTACATATATCACATTACAGTCTACTCCACACAGATACACAACCGGCAGACATACAACTGAAGCAAAGGTTTCATGTAATACTGCCAACTCATGCCCTACGTCACACGTGTGATAAACAACACTAAACCATACCCTTACAGTGGCCACACTGGTTAAGTTTTATGCTATAAGATATCTAACCTCCATCTTAAAACACATTATGAAATAATACCTGACTTTTACTTTGGGCCATTTTGGTTCTGGTTTTGTTCATTCTGGTTGCAGGCGTTTGAGTGGATCTGTGCTTTGCTAATATCAAAGCTGCTGCAGGCGAAACACTGACCAGACTGATGAGACCACGGAAACTCTGGCTCCTGATTTCCAGGCAACCACATAATCCCCTCTATGTGCACAATCCGCTGCTTTTGAAGATCAGGTTTGAAACCCTACATAGAAACGGGGGCTTAATTGTATGTTAGTAAACGATATTTCCTATATTAATTTAAAATTTTTATATTATTAAGTTAATTAATTTTTCTATCTTGAATGATAAGAATTTCAAACACAAATGCCTTTAAGGACGGGGCAGTAAATGCCAGTGTAGGAACTGGCTGATGTGAGGTAATAGGGAGTGGTGAGCCTGTGGCTACCTAAGGAAGGGATGTGTGCACAAGGGGGAGGTGCTCGGATTCACTTTAACAAACGCTGACGCTGATTTGGTGCTGCATGCCTCTAATCACGCATGACCAGAATCCCAGCAACTGTGAGGTAGGCCCTTAAAGGGCGGGACTTCAAGGCTCACTGGGGCTACACAGTAAGATTCGGACTCTAAGAGCAAAAATAAAGCAAACAAAGGCACAGAATGGATGCACGAATTTCTGTGCTGACTAAGGGAGATAAGTGATCTTGGACCCAGAGTTTAAGATCATGGTTAAAGACAGTTTTTTGTTTTGTTTTGTTTTTTGTTTCCAGAGGTTCAGGGGATGAGCATGACCTCATGGAGAGTTTTAGGACTTGAAAACCAAAACACACAGAGTATGAAGAATGTTACAACAGAACACAAACTTACGGTGGCCCTGCCTCTTCAATCTGATGATCCAGCTTAATATTGCTCAAGAAGTCATTTGCAGTTTCTACCAACAATGGAAGATTTTACCAGCAATCCAAAGTGCTTCATAAATAAGGAAAATGAAACTCAAACAACAAAACAATCTACCTGAGATTCCTTTGATAAGGAACGGAAAGTAAAACCGGAACTCTGTTTTTTCTACTTCCCCCACCCCAACATCCCCCCTCCCCGCCTCCTATATGCTTTGCTTAACACAGCAAAGTGGAAGACAAATAGCTTTCTATATAAAGAAGCAATCAGATTTAATCTATTGTTCTATGGTAGTTGGGTCATAATGTGCTGTCTCAGCCCAGAGAAGAATAGATTCTTCTTCCACCGAAGAAAGAAATGTGTCTTGTGGGTTCAGCTCTGGTTATACAGCTCCTGCTAAGTGGAGATGAGAGTTACTGGAAATCAGAATTCCTTTGTTCTTGAGAGGTTCTGTGACTTTGTGACTCTACTTAAATGCAAGTCAATCTCCATCTTGTACTCCTGACTCATCCCCATCCAGGGTGAAGCTCCATTCTTATCCTGAGCACTATACTGTTTGTTCAGAATTTCACATCAGGGGTTGGAGAGATGGTTAAGCAGTTAAGAGCACTTGCTGCCCCTGAAGAGTGCCACCACCTCCACGGCCTCTCACACAACTCTGCACCTCCAGTCTCAGGGGTCTGACATCCTCCTTCCAGCCGCCTTAGACAGCAGTACCACATGTGATGCATATACATATATGCAGGCAAAGCATTCATTCACATAAAGTAAAAATAAATAAATCCTTTTGAAAAAGGAAGGCCACAGCAGACTTTTCTTTTGTTAATGACAGGGTCCTAACTGTATTCCTCTGCTGTTTGAATTTCTCTGTGCTATCTATTTTTGTTTTAATTTATATTTCCTGTGTTAAGTGTATTGTAAAACACTTTCATATGTTTGTTAATCTTTTTTTAACTCCTTTCCCAGCTTAGATCCTGTGATGGTCTGTATATGCCTGGTCCAGGGAGAAGCACTATTAAGAGGTGTGACCTTGTTGAAGTAGGTGTGTCTCTGTAGGTGTGGGCTTTAAGACCCTCACCCTACCTGCCTGGAAGTCAGTATTCTTCTAGCATCTGTCAGATGAAGATGAAGAACTCTCAGCTCCTCCTGCACCATGCCTGCCTGGATGCCATCATGTTCCTGTCTTGATGATAATGGACTGAACCTCTGAACTGTAAGCCAGCCCAATTAAATGTTGTCCTTATAAGAGTTGCCCTGGTCATGGTGTTTGTTCACAGCAATAAAACCCTAGCTAAGACAGATCCAGATTTTCAGTTTTATTTTATTTTAGAACTTCATACATGAAGACTGCATCTAAATCACTCCCACTTCCTCCTTTTCCCCCCTCCCAAATTCATGACCTTTTATGAATGATTATGGGCATATATATTAGTGTGTGTGTACATATATACATGCATGCATGCATACATACATACATATATACATACATACTTGTTTATACAACCAAGTTTATTTAGCCTTACTCATTTGTACATGTATCCAGGACTGACAGCTTGAGATTGGACAGCTTATTCAAGAGTTTGTCCTTGGAGGAACTGATTCATTTTCTTTCAAGCCATTGATCACTTAGAACTCTTCATTTATAGGTGAGACCTTGTGGATTTTCCCCCATCCACGATATCCACTGGTAGTGTTGTTATTCTGGTCTTGTTGAAATTTCCTGGATGCATTTCCCTTGTCATGCCTAGGGGATACTAGCCTCAGGCACCCTGTTCCTCTGACTTACAATCTTCAGAATGTTCAATGAGCTTTAGTGGTGTTATCTGTTACATTGCAGATGTATCAGTCAGGGTTGGACATCCTTCTTGAAGGATGTTCTTTATATTTTTACCTATTGTGGTCCTCTGTAATAGTTTCCTTCTGTTGCAAAAAAACACTTCAGATACAGATTTTTGTGTAAAAAAAAGTTTTGGAATGAAATATCTTAGAAATGAAACAGGTGGGGGACAGTTATGCTAATGGAAATGGAAAATACTAGAAGAGGAAAGGAGATAATTATAGAGAAGGCAGGGTAAGTGTCCCAGATAGCTAGAATATCTACTACATACTTCCTAAAAATTTACAAAGAACATGCTATGTTCTTTCTTGCTACTTTTTTTTGTTTGTTTGTTTTTTCGAGACAGGGTTTCTCTGTGTAGCCCTGGCTGTCCTAGAACTCATTCTGTAGATCAGGCTGGCCTCAAACTCAGAAATCCACCTGCCTCTGCCTCCCAAGTGCTGGGATTAAAGGCGTGCGCCAACACTGCCTAGCTGGCTTCAAACTTATCTTCATGCCTAGTGCTGGAATTATAAACATATGCTGCCATACTTACTCTCTGTGTTCTTTATTTAACTTTTGGTGTGTGTGTGTGTGCGTGTGTGTGTGTGTGTCTTCTTTTGTGTGTACATACATGTGGTGGACAGAGTTGATGCTTGGTGTCTCCATCCTGTTTTTGATACAAGGTCTCCCCTGAATCTGGAGTTACTGATTCTGCCAGATGAGCTGATCTCAAGCCCCAATGATTTTTGTTTCTGCCTCTCAAGTGCTTGGATTGTACAGGGATTTGACAACATTGTGCCCAGCACTGGGATCAGAAAAATTCAAACTCAGGTCCTCATGTTTGTGTGACAAGCACTCTACCAACTGAGCCATCTTCTGAGCCCTATATTCCTTCTTCTGCTAATGCTTTCTATGCTCTTAATCACAGAGGCTTGCTTTAAAATGACAACAAATATTTTTTGAATTGTCAGAGAAGGAAATAACTGTTACATTTAGAAGTAAACGCACACTTATCCAAAAGGACAGGAAGATGCACAAGTCATGTGTCTCCATAGAAACAAAACTGATATGAGATGTACGTAAACATACCAGATGGGAATTTATTGGGGAATTGGCTGTGTTAGTACAGCAGCCTAAGAAGTTCCATGACAGGCACAACAGGCCAAGCCGGATGCTCTGGGATGCATGTTTGGGGCCCAAACCCTGAGAATCTAGGGAGGAGGCTGCTTGTGAGAGTCCTGGTGTCTATGCTTCAGATGCACTTGTGGGGAGGGTTAGCATGGCAGATCAGTTTTCCTCCTGAATCTGCTCTGTCTAGTCCTCTGGCTATAGACACTAGAAAATGTTTTCCCCTGCTATACAGTCTTCTGTCACCTCTTCTTAAAACACACAACAGAGGCACCTAAAGTAGTTCTGCGGCAAGTCTTTGGGCAGTTCTCCATCCAGCCAAGGGCACAACAAAATTGGCCATCACAGGAGGTGAGCTAATTGCTGCTAATTTTCAAAGCAATTAGTATGGTTTCCACATCATTCTTAGCTAAAGAATCATAGGGAAATCACCCTTCCTTTGAAGTCTCTGCTTTACTTTACTCTAGTGACATGATTGAAGAGTTACAAATGCGGAACCTAGGGCCTTGGGGACCCCATTTCTGCCCATACATTTTTGTTTGATTTATTATTATTGTGTGTATGTGTGGTTACATGATGTGTGCATTTGCCATGGTGTGTGTGTGTGTCTCTCTCTCTCTGTCTGTCTGTCTTTCTGTGTGTAAAACTTTATAAAGTCAGTTCTCTCCTGGGGTCTGGGGATCAAACTTGGGTTGTCAGGCCGGTGTTGTCACGCAGAAAGTGTCTTACCCATGGAGCCATCTCACTGGCACCTACTGCTGCCTTTTGTCTACATCTTTAACTCTTTTATATCTTATTTTTCTATTGGTTGAAACAGATAATTGAATTAGAAACTGTACAAGGCTAAAATAGTTGCTTTTTAAACTACAAAACACACACACACACACACATATATATATATATATTTTAAAGCACTAAACAATGACTGACTTAGGTTCAAGCTGACTAGAAAAGAAAAAGGGCCCAACACTGACTCTGAACCATTTTTATCTGTTACATTCAAGAGCAAACCTAGCACAGACTCAAGAGGAAGCAAGAACCAGCACTTCATCACCAACCCCACAGGTCCTGCCAAGTCTTGGCAATGAGCAAACAAGTGGAAGGTTTTGTTTGTTTCTTTCAGACACAGAGACAATGTGGCCGTACTGTGTGAGTAGAGCAGACAGCCAACTGAAGTACTTCCCAGGTAGCAGGAGAGGTCAGTGGCCCATGTACACTAAGGAAGGCATTGGATGCTGGCCCAGTTAGCGAGGGTGCACGGTGTGGTTCTTGGAATAAGGGAAGACCTAGCACAACCTGGCAGATAATAGAATGTTCTCTGGCTCCCAAAGGCAGAAGTGAAGAAAACACAGAATTTCTTATGGGTGATAGGTGGCGTCTTCTTAAAATATAAAAGGCACCTCAAATCATGAAGTTACTAGTGTGCTTTTTAAAAATTAATAAAGCAAACAAAACCAGCTCCACATGTGCTCTAGTGAGAAGGCTGGCAATGTGGTTATGGACTTGGGACCTCACAGGGCTGCACAGAAGGTTCCAAGAGCAAGGGCTTTCTGTTCCTGAGAGGGAGGCTTGCTCCTGAGACATGTTTCGTGAAGTCCTTACCTCAAACTCAAAATACAAGGACACACACAAAATTTTTTAAATCAAAATTTTGATTCTGAGATGGTTACAATTTATCCACAGTTGTCACAAACTATGAAGAGAAATCCTGTGCACCTTTTACCCACTGAAGTAAAAGTTTGGACCACTAGAGTTCATAACCAGATTAAGGGAGAAAACATTTCAAAGTTCTCCTCTTAGAGTCACCCAAATGCCCCCCAGGGACACCTCGGCTTTAATCCTGACAACTCCCATTTATGGTCTCTGTTTCTATAATGGGGTCACTTCCAGAATGCTCTGAAAGTGATAAGTGTACTCTTTTTCCTCCATTAATTAATTTACTTATTCACTTTACATCCTGATCGCCGCCCCCTCTTCCTGGTCCACACTTCACACGGTCCTTCCCGCTTCTTCCCTTCCCTTATCCTCTGAGAGGGTGGAGGCCCCCTTTGGGTATCCCACACACACACACTAGCACTTCAAGTCTCTGCAAGGCTAAGCATATCCTTTCCCAGTGAGGCCAGACAAAGCAGCCCAGTTAGGGGAACAGGGTCCATAGACAGGCACCAGCTTTAGA